GTCACCCCCCTTACGGAGGACAAACCGACAATACTCAAGGCCAGCACCGCTTCAGGCACCGAAACAAGTGCCATTACCGCCGTTGTCGATGACACTTCTGCGGGCTTGTCCAAGGCTTTTGATGGATTAGACAGGGTTCCCACTGAAGCTTACGGGGATCAGAAAAATGTTGCCTCCGCTGTTGTGGCCGGTGTCGCAGCTGAGGCGAGGTCATTGCTCGGCATATTCTCTCACCCTCATACTACGTCTGTCAAGGCCTGGCCTGCTCGCCTGGATGGCACCATCTGCTTTCCAGAGCTTGACGACCCGGACTTCACCTTGCCGGGGCTGGGTGATAAGGCTCCGATAGCCACTACCCTGGGCCTAGGCTGTCTGCACGGCTTGCAGCACCAGGGCTTGCTGAACAGGGTCCGCTACCTCAGCATGATCTCCGGTAAGTTGCAGTTGCTGGCTAATGTTCCTGCTCCATACAGGGACTCAGCATCACACACATGCACATTGTATCCCTGCTCATCTCATGTAACAGTGTGCGTGTTGAATGCAGTCGGCCAAGTGGCTGGTTTGACTAGCTAGATAGCTGGCTGTCTACCTACTTGACTAAGTAGGCCTGGTAGGCGATCAACATAGGCACATGCACAGTTCTTGTTTCAAATATATATCATCCAGGCCGGGGTTCACCTGGAAGCGAGGGTACGTGTGGGACAGGTGAAGAGATGACGTAATGCTTGCTTGTTGGCCTGGAAGGAGATGTATGTGTATACATGTGTGTGTGTGTCTGTTGCATCTCGGTTGCATTACTCAGAGAGGTGTAACGAGCCCACCAAACAAGCCAGGTAGGGGCATGCCATTCACGGCGAGACGCCACATGGTCTCCTTGTTCTCATTCTCCCAGCGCACCCCATGCCATAACGTGCCAGGGTTGCCTGAAAGCGACTAACCTCGAGCAGCAGGGTAGTCACGCCTACCTCCCGTTTGGCCCACCGGTCTCAATCCACAATCGTACAACCACTGATTAACTGAATCCCCACTAAGACTCCGAACCAGATTTGATGGGACATGGTTGGCGTGCCCCGGAAGGCCACAGGCCACCCATACATGTCAGTAACAGGGGGCGGTGTTGGCTAGGCTAAATGGGTCTAAATGGGTCGGAATGAAGGTGTCGCGTTGTAGCCCATCCTCGGACATTATGGACGGACATCACCCGCACCACGGACGTCACCGGCACCACGGACGTCACCCGCACTACGGACGTCACTGGCACTCGTTGTGGGCAGCACAGCACCACCAGCACCGTCAGTCAGCACCACCAGCAGCCGCTGCTGGATGCCGCCTCCACCACAACTGGGCACCGCCACTCCTGAGCCCAACCTGCCACTCCGCTGCACGCACTCTCAGTTGAACCTACCCACCCACACAACCAGCCAGGCGACCAGAGTATGCCGCGGTCAGGTCAACAGACACACACAGCAGCCCTGCCTCCCATCCTGGCGACAGGCTAGCTTGCTCTGGCCACCCATCACCACACCGGGTACATTGTCAGCTGGACACTGTATGCTCAGGTGGCTGCTCCTGCAGCCCCCAAGGTCGCCGACAGGTCTGACAGGATGCTGCATATGACTGCACTGGGCACCAGGATGGCTTTGTTTGTACGAGTGTCAGACCCGACCACCATGGCCACAAGCTTGCCGGTGTCGACCGAGAAGCAGCCGCCACCTGAATCACCGGCACCCGCAACAATATCACCGCGGATGTGGCTGTGCGCATCCAGCTCGGTCGCCGCCACCATGCCGTGGCTGATGGATGTGGCGTCCGCTTGTGCCTGCGTGGACTGGCCGTGGACGTAGTACTTGTCGCCAGCCGAGACACCACAGTCCAGCACCGGGGGCACCAGCTTGCGCTGCACCTGAAGGTCAATACCAGTGAAGTAACATCACAGGCGGTTGACTATGTTGCGAATTGTGAGTGCTTTAATGCTCCAGCTTGAGCTTGCATGGACCTTGACTTGTGGGAATCTAGGCAAGGAAAGGGCTTGGGGAGGAAAGGTGCAAGGGTGCTACATGTGCAGAAGTAAGCTCAATTGCCGCTACTGTAGGCTTAACCGACCCGCACACTGGCACACCTCGAGGATGGCAACGTCTTGGATGGGATTGATGCGCACCACCGTTGAGTCCACCAACACCCTGCGGTCCGCGTCGGGGCAGTGCACGGCAATCTGCGAGCAGAGCATTGTTGCATGAAGCTTACAAGCATTGTGCAAGGCGAGGTGGTAAGAGGGCCAGAGCCATGCACAGCACAAGAGGCATGCCTGCCTGCATGATTGGTCACGCTAAGAACAGCAGCACTCCGCGGCAGCAGTGCTATAATATGAATGCCGGGGTGTTGCTATGTTGATACACATGCGCAGTTGCACCAGCAACAGCCCAAGTCAAATACCATTCATAAGGCAGCAGCTCAAGTCAGACTCCATTCACGAAAATCGGCAAACTGCCTCATGTGGAGCTCCTACTCTT